AGGGAAAACTACTTTACTTGATTCCGGCAGTTGAATTCCCTGGTGACAGAAGTATGCACAGCATTTCTAATCCAAAGGAAAATTTGGCATTATGTCAGGCCTTGTAATTTGAAAATAATCCTTTCCCTCTCAAAATTTTCTTCATACTAATTTAACCCTTTTTATTGTCTTGCCTGTTATTCCTTACTCTGTGGAAATGTATTTCCATTGATAAACATCAAGTCACTTAGTCTTCAGTTCCTATTTAAAACAGCAGTAAAGGATTAGATCTCTTTGATACAACTCACTGCCTGGCTTTTATCTTAAGGTAACTTTTTACTATAATATACCCGGTGTCAGGTCTCAGCTTTTCATCTGAACCAGATGATTCTGTGATTCTATGAATGAAGGTTTTCTGGGGGGAAAGGATGAATAAAATAATAGGAGTAGTATCCATCCTACTGCTAAGCACCTGATGGCAAACCTCGTAGATTATAATCTTTCTTCTCATCAAACCTAGAAAATCCTAGGGGTTTGAAGTTCCTAATGTTTACCCTAACAACACACCACTGCATGGGAACTCTGGTCTCTGCCTTACGCCACTTCCACCGTTGCAGGAAATGCTTTGCACGCCAAGCATGACAGATGGAGTCTCGGTGGCAGCGTGCCTGCTCCTGCCACCACACACCGTAGGAAACCAACCAGGGGAAGGTGCACTTATGTAGAATTTTATTAGAAGAAAAATCCTGCTTGGTTTTTTCCTGCCATGAAGATTTCTGTCAGTTTTTAAATAACTGACAGGCTTGTGTGCAGTAGAACTGTCCTTTGCTTGGGTTGGGCTGCTTAAAACGTCCCCCAGCCTGGCATTTGTGCAGCAGGTTAACACTGCTGCTGATTAAGTGTCTCATGTATCATGTGATAACATAGGCAGATGGCACAGTAAGATGGATCTGTTGTGATGTATCTATGCAATAATGTCTGAATTAAGTTGCTAATTCCCAAGGAATTTTATGGCTTGTTAACCTGATTCAGCATAACAGATAGTCTGTTGGATAAGGCTTTTTAAAGACTTCTGCAGTGTTATAAAGAACAAAAAAAGGTTTTGCTTTTGCCTTACGTGGTTCTTGGTTCAGATCGTAGTGTGAAAGGAAGCAGTTGAATTAGTTGCTCAGATTCTTCAGCCTAGATGGGTGTGTGAAGGGGGGGGTGGGAATCTGGGAGGCTTTCCAGAAAGAAATTGCCAAATAGTTGCTGTCTGGATGCAGTTTAATGTCTGTAAAATACCATGCTTGTCCTGAATGTATTCCCCTTCCTTATTTTCAGTCTTGTTTGTATTTTCCCTATTGTTCAGGCCTTTCCTCAAAGCTTTCAATAACCAGACTTAACACATTTATAGACTTTCTTGTGTTTAGAGCATTTAAACACTACCTAAGCCAGTCATTCCGAAACTTAACAAGTCTCCTTTTTCTCTTCTTTCCCCTTCCTTTTGTTCTGATAGCCAAGACCTGCTGCAGCCTTCCCAGGGCTCACGTGTGCCCTTAAGCCTGCTCCGGCCCTCCCCAGCACCCTCCACTCTCAAGACATAGCAAGTCATTTGGTCTGTTTATCTTTAAAAGATACTGGTACCATGAGCTCCACCAAAACCTAGTCCTGGTCCCATCTTTACTCTGTGCCCTTCAAATCAAAAACCCCCGGACTCTGGCATGGGCTCACTGCTCTCCTTCTGTGTTATACCTCTGAAATGTAATCTCGCCCAACTTCTGTAACTCCTCCTTTTGCCAGCATCTCACTGCAGGTTCTAGTGCTGTTTGGCGCCTCCACGTTCTCAAGTCCCTGTACTGCCCTGGCAGAATTGCCTTTCTCCCCAAACCTTCCAGCTCTGCTTTGCCTAGTTTTGCTAATGATCCTGGATTTTTCTCAGGGAGGGAAGGCAATAGCTCTGCTTTGTGCTGGTTTAGACAATCCCATCCTAGATTAGACTCTTAAAGAGCTGTCAGACAGCTCCTTGCATAGCTTTGCCTTCTTGACGTGGCTGTTTAGGCCAGTTTGATGAAGCTGATGCCCTTTGCATTTAGGGTGAAAGCATTTCTGGGTCATATTTGTAGATCTGACCATTCCAGCTCAAGCACATCAGACGTACAAGCCTCTCCTGAACTTCTTAGGTGGGTCTGTTAGAAACACCTGGAGTAGAAGCCTGCTTTGCTTGCTGTTTGCTTGGTGCAGCTGCTTTTACAGTGTCTTGTAGGCTCAGCTCAGCATTGGGCTGGGTAGCATTGGGGAGGAGAAAGGAGCAGCCAATCAGTGCCACGTGCCTATGCTGTGTTCCTGTCTAAGCCACAGCCTCTGGCTGGTTCTCTTCTGACTGTCCAAAGGCTCCAACACTCTTCAATTGCTACCAGAGATGACAGCAATGTCAGGGTGAAGAGACAGAGAGAAGAGGAAATAACTGGGGTGATATTTTTCATTGTCTCTTCACAGCCTCTTCTCCCCCAAACTGAAGAGCTGATCTCTCAAAGCATGACATGACCATTATATTAGAAAACTTTCAGAAAGGGGAAGATGAAGAAACAAACAGAGTAATTTGCCCAGGTCGTAAAAAGAGTCGGTGTGACAGCATGGATTAGAAATAGGGAATTCCTGGCTTCCAAGCCTGAGTTCATACGTCTTGATGTCGCATTTTTCTCTCTTTCTGGAGGGAGTACATCTGGCTTGAGATCAGGAAGAGGTGTGTTTTTTCAGGAATATTCTTTTTTTCCACTTTCTTCATTCTGCTATTCTCTACCAAGCCAGACTCTTCAGGGAAATTGTATGTAATGCATGTATAATGCCATGGGGGTGAAAAGTCACTTGATACCAAACCTTCCTGAGTGGTATATTGGCTCAGAAGGAAATACCACCTTGGCAAAGGTAATTTGATTTAGACAAAGTACCAATTGTCTGTCTCTGTGTTTTAAAATTTGATTAAAAATTTAGGGGTTTCCATGTACTTGATTCTTGTTTAGAAGTGGAGGTGCAAAGAGTGGGCATGTTTCTTAAGATTCCCAAACACACAGTTCTTATTCAAAGCCCTAATGTTACAGATTCAGGGTATATGGGAGTTAAAGAATATATGTGGAAATGGGATTTCCAGGTTTCTACTTCATTAATTCAGTTCCTGTTATTTCTGTTGAAGTAATGAAGCTGATAGGGTTGAGTAAAAGAAAGAGCTCCAAGAACTTTAATTGTGAGGAGGAATTAGAGCATTCATCAAAGTGAGGGGAGGTGATTGTTGTTTCTGTTTTGTTTCTTTTTTCTAAACTCACTTTGCTTTTTGGAACATTCTTTTTTAATAACAAATACAATTTCTAGCACAGGCTTTTATGTTGGAACTTTATTGCCAGACGATGTAAAACAAATATAACTCTCCAGCAAATGAATTGGAAATGACAACTTGTCCTACCATCACTCTTGAAATGCAACCATGTATTTTCATGCCTGAAATTACGCAGATGAAACATCTTGCTATAAAGCCAACCAGCAGTTACTGAACTATTTCTTTTCTTCCTTTGGAAAAAAAGGCACATTTTTATTTGGAAAATGCAGTTTGTCTTCCTTATTTCTCTTAAATGTGTGAACCAGCCAGGTTTTCTGGTACAAAAATCAGAGCAGGTTATAGCAGTCATAGAGAAATCCTCACCTGTTTGGTATGGATGGTTCACTGTCTGCATCTTAACCATGAGAACCTCACCCTGAAATGTTACAGTAATTCTTGGAAACTGTGTTGTATATTCAGCTGTTCTACATATTATTCAAACTGTTCTGTTATGAAATTGTGTTTAACCATATACCTTTGACTTTTTTAAAGCAACAAGGAAAACTGGAAAATTCAAGACAGGTCATAAGTCTTTATTTTTAAGTGCACTTAACTTGTTCTCATAAGAATTTATTTTAATTACATGAAACATTGTAGACTGCAACTGTGCACGTGAATACCCATCTTCATCTTTCGTTTCTTTATGCAAAACTGGCATTGTCAAGGTTGTAAGGCCAAAAATCTATAATGCAATCAGTTTACTATAACAAAACTTGGGGGGAGGGGGGGGTGATGTTTGTGGTTTGTTTGGTTTTGGTTTTGTTTTAAATGTGCCCTGGTTATTTTAAACTATGCTCATGGGTATGTGCCTACAGTTAGGCTTTCCTGTCTTCTTGGGTCAGTCCCTGTCTGCAGGTGGGAAAAAGAAGTTGTCAAAGTTTTGCTTTTTGGAACAGGAAAAAGGGGAGAAGTGTTAATTGAGAACTGACCTCATCACAGCTGTGATTTTAAGCTATGAGAGTTAGTTCAATTGTTTGGTTTGCCAACCTTGACAGTATCATTTCTATCTTTATGGAAATATTAAGATGTTTTAAAGTCAATCAAGTCTTAGTCAATGGGGAAGATGTTTTTAGATGTTGCTTGATTGCATTTGGTCAGTCTTCCTTCAAAACCAAGAAAACCCACTTGGAAGTAAACTGTAGAAGGAGAGAATTTGTGGTCTGGGAAGGGAGAACCGCGGGCAGTTCTTGGGATCTAATCCATAGTTACAAATTCATTTTCCTCAGCTTGAAATAACTGTAATAATTCAGTATTGTCAATAGCTCCTTTATTTTGGGTGTTTTGAAATTGTCCTCTGGAAGTTTGGAAAACAAAAACTATCTCACACAGCAACTGTTTCTGAAGAGCAAAGCTTCGAACAAAAAAGCAAAGATAAAATAGCCTGCAGTGTCCAGGTGTCCCCAGGTCAGTGCAAGGCACATCTAGGTTTTGCAAAGCCTTTCCATAGTGATGCTGCGAGGAGGCAGCCCACGTGGGAGCAGGGGCAGGAGGGGAATGTGGCACATCACACCTAAAATACTATATGAACTTGTTGTTATGGGTCACATTCTTAATATGTAGTGTATGTTAGAAACAAGGCCTTTCTGTAGCTTTCTTAATATGAAATTAGCGTCCCAAAGATTTGTTAACTGCAGATGTGTCACTAGGTTTGCCTTCTATTTTCCCTGAGTGCTCAGAAGAGCTCTAAACGAGGGTGACTTGCATTGCTAGTGGTTGGAAGAGTAGCCTGAAAAGCAGCAACAGATAAAGCGCTGCGCAAGGATGCTGAACTGATAGTTTCTGTCCTGGCATTTGAACTGCTCTGCCTGCTAGTGCTGCTCACAAACATGCTGCCATGAGCATTGCTGTTCTCTGTGGTTAGGCTGAGCATAGGCATGAACCTAAGCATGTTTGTAGCTGCTTGAAGAGATGTGGTCACTGGGCCAGCCCACAGCCTGTTCACGGTACTGTTTTAAGCAGATTTAAGTAGGCTTTGGTTTTACATGAATGCCTTCTTACAGAATCAGGATTTTAGATTAGCTTGTATTCAAGTAAACTCCTTCATAAAGACATGCTTTCATTCAAGTGTAGTGTGTACATCTTCTCTGAAGATGACTTACCCTCTCTTGCCAATACAGTGCGTGTTAAATATTTAATGTCATGGTGGATAATCTTTTTTCCCCTAAGGTGATTTCTGGAGCATCTTCAAAGTGTTCAGTAAGTGCCATTCACAGTTCTGCTTTTCCACATTTTTCAGATACATTGGGAAGTCGGATTCAATAACAATCAGCGTGTGGAATCACAAGAAAATTCATAAAAAGCAGGGAGCTGGTTTTCTGGGTTGTGTGAGACTCCTTTCAAACGCAATCAACCGCCTTAAAGACACTGGTTGTAAGTAAGCTAAAGACTAGAGTTTTTGTCATCTTTTCAAACTTAAACAGGGGAAGTTTAGGTTAGATATAAGGAAGAAGTTCTTTACTGTGAGGGTGGTGAGGCACCAGAATGGGTTGCCCAAGGAAGCTGTGAAAGCTCTATCCCTGGCAGTGTTCAAGACCAGGTTGGATGGAGTCTTGGGTGACATGGTTTAGTGCGAGGTGTCCGTGCCCGTGGCAGGGGGGTTGGAACTAGATGATCTTAAGGTCTTTCCAACCCAAACCATTCTATGATTCTTTCAGGCCAAACTTTCATGCACGAACTTTCAAAGAGTGAAGTTATTTGGGTTTTTGTTGGGGTTTTATTTATAAAGCTTGTATATTCCAATGGGTTTGGTAGTTTGTAATGATGTTTTGTGTCCAAGGATAGCACAAGTAGGATAGAGAATGTAATTTACCATTGGCTTTTCAACTCCTGTGCCCTTTTACCACAGACAGTGGTAATGTCAGTGCCACAGTCTGGTTGTGGATTGTCAGCATTGAACTTACTGTGTTGGAATTCCAAAGGAAGACAGATTCTAATTGCCTTCAAATAATCTTTCTTATTACCTTCAGAAATGCAAGTCTTAAGGGATAAACAAAAGGGCAGATTTATCTTGAGGCCAAATTCATAGTTTAAAAATGAATGGACCTTCAAAATTAATTATTAAATTTTGATATAGTAAGTTTTTTATAATACTTTGAGCACTTTGTGTTTACTTTCTCAAAAGTTAATTAATGTGTAAGATGCTGTTTTCTCATTATCCTAATGGGTGCCATTTACTTCTGAACATAATTTGGTACAGTTTGTGATGGAAAAGTAGTGCTTGGCTATATCCATAACTAAAAAAGAAAAAAGTGACATGCTGGTAGAGAAGCATTGTGATTTTTACATTCAGTAACAGATTCTTAACTGTCTTATACTAGTCTGAATTTTGTTCTGATGGTACTTCAGTGTGCCTTTCAAAGGCAGCAACATACTGTATGCTTTATACTTTGTGTCCTTGTTCTGTAGATCAGAGATTGGATCTGTGCAAGCTTGGGCCAAATGACAATGATACTGTTAGAGGACAGATAGTAGGTAAGTAAGGGTTTTATCTTCTAGTTCTTTTGCAGCTGAATAGTATCTATAGAGATACCTTTCCTAGATGTCAATTTTCTGTACTGGATTCCCCACTCCACGTTCAATATCTAGTGCCAAAGCCATTCGAACCTCAAGCTAGAAGTGTGTATGTAGAGAATTAAAACAAACAACAAAACACCCCAAACCACTCAAACCTTCCCCAAAACACTCCCCCCATATTATTAGAAGTGTTGAGACAGATTAGACCATAGATAACCTGAAATTTGTCCAGGAAGTTTTTAATCTGACTGTAAAGAATGGTGACAGTTTGAGCCTGAACTCCCTGTGAAAAACTGGCTACAAGTTCTTGGCCATGGAGAGTTCCAGCAAAGCTGTGCTTCCTGTATGTTTTGCGAAAGGGTGAAACATCTTGCTGCAACAGGAGTGAATTGCTGTCTGGGACGACTTGCTCAATTCATTTTGTGTTTTCACGGGTTATTAACAAGTCTGTCACCAGCCTCAGTAACTGTGCTTTGTCATTCTGCAAACTCATAAACCTTAAATAACTTAAGAATTTAAAAGAAGCTGGCAAATTGAAAAACAAGTATCCGCAAACAGCTTCATAAGCACTCTCTTTTGGTGCTTTGTAAGTTGTTTCAGAAGGCAGCTTAGGAAGTAAAAGAAAAAACAGTTGATCAGGATGAGGAGGTCTTTATTTTTATGGCAAGATATTAATGAGAATATTTGGGAGGGGAAGAAAAGTGAATGTGCATGCTCAGCTTTATGTTCAGTTCCTAGTTCAAATAATATGCAGGCAGCATTCTTGTTTTGTCAGTCAGGGAAACTATTGCAATACCAGTCAGCAAATAAGGGCTGCAGTGCATTTGTTTGCTCTCCTTAAAGTGCTCTGTTGAATATACCTACGACTTCACCTCTTTATGTTGCTTTAACCATCTGTCTAGCATCTGATCTTCAAGTGTAATAGTAAGATAAGTGAGGTGGCACAGAAGAGTCAAACGGTAGTAGAAATGTGGACTCGTAAGTGCATTGCCGACACTTCAGGCTATTCTTGAGTATTGAATTTTCCATGTGAGTTTGCACAGAAGAGTAAAGGATAAACCAGTCGGTTTTCTAGAGTGCATCATGTTGTTGGTTTGGTTTGCTTTTTGGGTTTTCTCCAGGATGCTGGTCACCTGCTCATCATGAAGTCTTTTTTGTGGGGTTCCTTTTAAGAGGAACTTGTTCAAAGTCTGCTCCAGCAGCAGAGATCCACTGCCCACAGCAGCCCTTCAGCCATGACACTGCAGGGACTGTACCCTCACACCATGACGTGCTCTCATGCTGCCCTCCAGAGTATGCAACATGCATCCTTGTCATCGTGGCTTGAGAATGCTGGCATTAATTAAACAAGCAAAAGAAACCCCAGAAACCCCACCCCAAATCAGAAAGGTCTCAAGGCTATTGAGATGCCAGATGGGAAGCCTGGGGCAGACATGGAGCATTGTGGGCATGGCACATACACTTCAGAGATAACTGCTTGTCAGACATAACTAGTCAGCAGTGCGGGCATAAACTAGACTGACCAGTTGGCTTAACCTGATGTGATCTTGAGAAGTGGTATAGCCAAAGCAGCATCAGTTCTGCTGGCATGCTGCTGGGGCTGTCCCTCATTAGCAGGAGCTGCTGGATTGTGTATAGTACCTAGAAAAACCACAGCTTGTCAGCTTACAGCAGAGGCTGAGAACAAATCTGTATGTTCTCCTTTCTGGGGTTACCCTCAGAAAGGTCAGGTTTCCTCAGTTATGGCTGTGTTGTAATTTAATGCATCCTTGGTAAGATTCAGGAAACTTCTGTCTCTTTATTTAGATTGGTGTTATTAATCTCCTTATATTTTAATCTTTCTTCACTGATGCAATGTTGTTGAATGGGTGCATGAGCCTGAATAAAACTAGGTAATTCCACTGCAGTAGCTACATGGTGGAGAAATCCTGATTAAAAGTAAGCAAGAAGATAGAATAAGTTAGAAATACATTTTCAATCCTTCTAATGATAAACTGGCTTAAATTAAGAGGCTGTGCAAGAATGGAAAGCAATATTAAAATGTAATTGATACCTTCAGCAGATGATAACCGTACAGATCAAGTGCACAGTGGGTATGCCTTTATAACTTGGGACAGGGAGCAAGGGAAGCTTCATCTTAAATACCTGGGGTTCTCTTCAAAGGAAGGAAGAAAAGGGGGGACACTTGTCAGTAGTGGATGCAGAGGGCACCTGAACTGTGTCTTAATCTTGCAGCTCTCTTCTGTGCCACCATTTTATTTCTGATGTGGCGGTGCAGAAAAAAATGAGCCCTTGCTCATTACAAAATGAAGCCGTGCACAAATTTTGGTCCTTACCTAGCTTTGTACTGTTAATCTTCATGGAAGACCAGGAGTTAATACTAATAAGGAATAAGGAATAAGGCCAGCAGGTACTGTTGGACTCCCTGGATTCCTCTGGTAAAGGCCCAAAATCCAGAGCTTCAAAACATGTTGTTGTCAAACATTTGGACACTCGGGGAAAACCTGCCAGTACATCTTTTTAAACTATGTGATCTTGACAAGTTTGATTGTGTCTAGGTTAGGGTCTGTAGGTTTATTCACTGCATACATAAATAGGACTTGAAGACAGTTGTCCAGAGGTGCAGAAATGCCACCTCAAGAAATGTGTGCCACAGCACGTATTTAGCTTTTTAAACAATCGTTTTATTGTTAAAGGCAAAACAGAACATCAGAAAAACCCCAACAAGCCCGCAGGGACACAAGTGTCATAAACTGTCAGATTGGACACTTGCAAATTATGATACTGGGAACAAAAGCTGCCTAAAATAAAATCTTTGATTTCATAATTGTACTACAACAGCTTCAGGCATAAATATCCTTTCCAGTGAAACATGTGAAAAATCAAAATGAGATTTAAAAAGCAGTAATACAGTTTTGCTGAAGGCAGTAAAGGCTTTTCAGGGTCCTGAGCACTGCTTTGTGTGAGACTTGTATTTTACTTCTTACCACCCGTGTTTCAAAGTAGCCAATAAACCAGACGTGTACTGCAGTTAAATTTTGCCTGCTTTATGTATGTACATGTATGTTGAATCCCATGTTCACATCAAATACATGAGGAGGAGTCAAAATCAAGACAAGAATTTCTTAGTTTAACTCCTTCTATTAGCAGTTCTCCCGTTAGCAGTAGCACTAGTGCTGTCCTAGTCACCCTGCTGCTGCCGGATGAGTGTCACACTCCATCTCATGTAGAGAAAAGTTAATGACAGTGTCAGAGTTAACTTCTTTTTCTGCCTTGTGTTCATATTCTTTAAGCTAACTTTCTTGAAGGAAGATGTAGAGAATTACATGTATGAAAACATACACCATTTCTGTATAACTCTTTGATTTGTGGGAAGGAAAAAATGCCCAGAACATGGCTCAGCTTAGTCCTCCAAGATGTACTAGTTCTCTTTCTAATATAACTGCAGTTTGCATTCAGATGTCATATCATTAATAATTTCTTTATCTTAATAGTGAGTCTTCAGTCCAGAGACCGAATAGGCACAGGAGGACAAGTTGTGGATTGCAGCCGGTTATTCGACAATGATTTACCGGATGGGTAAGCTGACATCACTGTGATGTAAATACAGACACAGCTCATGCAACAGACGTTTGCAGTAATGAGAAGTCAGTGTACAAATAGCTTAACTTACTTTTATTCTTGCATTCAGAGTTCTACAGTTTTGGACTTAGGAGCAGGAGATAAGCCAGCTGGGATACAGAGAGTAGTGTGTATCTTGTCTCTTCTTGGAAAATGGGAGGTGGCAGATATGAGTAAATGCATTAGAAAGATACTTTTCTAAGAAAACATATGTATGTCAAGTTGTAGAACTGATAAACCAATACAGTGTTAAATCACAGCCAGCAAACTGACATCCTCCATGTAGTAGTTTTGTAGCAAGGTTGCCTTCTACAGCGCTGTGCGGAGGTATACATAATTGTAAAAATGCGTTACTTCTTCTTCCATGTAAATTATAGCAAAGGTAGGAAAAGGCAGTGGAACCTGAGTTCTTGCTGTATTTACCTGCCAAATGCTGGGTTTAGGATTTTGGTTTGTCCCTGTGAGAGTTAATGACATCATTAACACCTAAACCAGTTTTGTGTATACAGAAAAATGTTCTGTTTAAGGTTCTGGTGCTGTCATCAACTTTTTCAGAGCAAACACAGACCTTCTGAATGTGATTCTTGGCAGGTAAAGACAGGAGAAACTGATTTTTCAGATTATGAATTTCGAAATACTAATTACCATCGAAGTCCTAAACAGCATTCTTTTGTTAATTGGGAATCTGAAGAAGTCAGAAACACTTTTGACAATGCTTTTAAATTTTCACTTCAGAATGTTCCTTGTATAAATATTTCTTACTTATTTGTATAACTGCAAAACTAGCTGAATAGCCTGATGTAATTTGGAGTGCACAAGTAATAGTAATTAAAAAGTCATGTTATTTGGTGACTTTTTAATGAAAGCCAGTAGTGCATGAAGATGCTATGAAAATACTTACTAGATCGGTGGCCAAACGAAGATAAATGCATTATTAAATATGATGTTTTCTAGAAGTTTCTTTATGTGGCTGTTGGGATTTAATTAGAATTCAAATAGGTATTGAATGCAAAGGTGTGATATTGTTAATGATATGCCTGGTTTCAAGGGAAGAATGTGTAAAATCAATTCTGAGTTGAACTTTCAGTTGTTTCCTGTTACCTCGTTCAGCTAACACGATTCATAATAGTGTAAGTCTTCCTGAGTTGGCATTTATGTTGGAAACATTTTGTGCCCTGGTTTCCTGGAAATACCACTCATTGCCTTATCTCTCCATGTCTGAATTCTAGGTGGGAGGAACGGAGGACTGCTTCTGGAAGGATCCAGTATTTAAATCATATTACACGAACAACTCAGTGGGAGCGACCAACGCGGTAAGAAATTGTTTGGGAGACTGGGCATATGATGAAGTTTGCTTGTGCTGAGCACAAGCCGTTCTACATGGCTCTAACAGGGGTATTCAGTGTTCCTCTGAGTCACTCCACAAATGCTGTATGCTTTTCTTCTCCAACATCCTACTCCTTCAGTCTGCCTAATATTTAACTCAGAAGAATCATTCTGATTAGATTTTTTCCCTCCTCAAATACTAGTATCTTCTTCTTCTTCTTGAGCTTCTATGGTAGAACTCTATAAATACAGACATCATAAGGGATGAGGAAAAGAGATCAAGAACAGCTGACGGGCATTGTCTACGTACATACTATGACCATGTAATCCAGAACTTTTGAAGCTGATTGTTACAGAACATGTTTTGAAATCATTACAATTCTTTTCTAATAACCATAATAACTGTGTTGTGAAGCTGTTCCTCAAACCAGCTTTGCTGTTACCTGAATTGTAGACAGTGTCATGGCATATTTTTCAGTCTTCTGCGACCGTCTGTGCCTGCAGACTCTCTTCCATCCTCAATAAATATTATTGCAGTCTCTGTATGGATATATTTGACTTAAAATAATGTGTACTGTTAACACCGCCAGCTCTGATATATTTTCTCAAGTGAGCAAAGGTACTGAACAGATTTGTAATTTATCTATTCATATTTTTCCTAGTATGTTAAAATACCTGTTCTAAGCTCTAGACATGTTTGCAATACAAAACCAAATGCAAAATATATAATTTGTTTCAGGGATTTCCTGTGTCCTTATCAATCCCCCTTTAGCCCCTTTTAAAATCCTTTTGAAAGCAGCATTGAGAGATGAAACCACGTAATTCAGTGTTTCTTCTTGCAGTTGAGTTCTCAAGAGCAACTGTTTTTATCTTGCTTAGCCCTTTTTCACCATGCTTGCCTAATAACCTTCCTTAAAAATTAGAAGGAATAACAGGTTTACTTACTGCTCTGGGATGAACCGGTGAGCACAGAACAGAAGCAGAAGCTTTGTGCCCATTCTTGAGGTATCCCCCTCGACAAGTCAGCTGCTTGGTTCTGCCATCCACAAAGACATCCCAAGAGCCCTTAGGTGAAGCTTCCACGGAGTGTCTCATGTAGCCCCATGTCTAGTCAGCAGTGCATTGTTCACATTTCTCCCCACAGGCCAGCGTGTGAATACTCCAGCCCGGGCAGACCACTGAGCTGTTTTGTGGACGAGAACACTCCGATTACAGGAACGAACGGTGCGACCTGTGGGCAGTCGTCGGATCCCCGGCTGGCAGAGAGGAGAGTCAGGTCGCAAAGGCACAGAAACTACATGAGCAGAACACACTTGCACACTCCTCCTGATCTACCTGAAGGATATGGTATGCAAATTTAACTTTTTTAATTGCGGGTCTCCCAGTAAACTGGGAAAATGGGCTGTGTCTTCTCTTCATGCGTAAGATGTTTTTGATTCCTTAGTTTGGGAAAATCGGTCTTTGTGAGGTTTTGAATTGCATTCTTATAGTTACTAATTTATCTTGATTTCGCAGAGCAAAGGACGACTCAGCAAGGTCAGGTCTATTTTCTGCACACTCAGACTGGTGTTAGCACGTGGCACGATCCAAGAGTGCCTAGGTAAGAAACAATGGAAGTATCCTTAAAGTCAAACCGAGAGTTTAAGCAGTACTCTGCTCAATTTTCTCTGCCTATTATTTCTCTGCCAGTTATTTCTGACTCTTGGTCCCTAATATATTACTTTAACAAGTCATTCATCAAAATAAATTAGTCTCTTCTTCAGTTCTTCAAGATGCAAAGATGGAAAACAGGTACAGTTAACTGATTCAAGAGCTTGCCTATGAATTATAAACAAATCCAGATTTTAATAGCCTGCAAAATAATGAAACAAAAAGTAGGATCTGAGCACTTCCAAAAACTTAGATTTATCCAAGATAGGTCAGTGAAAACTGCATTGGTTTTGGTTTTTAATTCGGGCTTTGGAAGTTAACAAGAACTGAGAAATTGGCAGCATGTATTTATGAAGAACAAACTTGGTGACAAATAGACTAGACAAATGTTATCATTTTTGATGGAGGAGCAGATAAAGGAAAAACCTGGAAAAGGTAGTCAATGCCCTTTGTATGTTTAGAAACGCTGTTTGTAGTGAACTACAGCCTCCTCATCGAATTAGCTTAAATTTACGTGTTTGTGAGAATTGTCCCACGTTCAGACTACCAAACAAAGTGTTCAGGGCCAGGTTGGACACAGGGGCTTGGAGCAACCTGCTCTAGTGGAAGGTGTCCCTGCCCGTGGCAGGGGCTTGGAATTAGATGAACTTTAAGATCCTTTCCAACCCAAACCAGTCTGGGACTCAGTGACACAATTCTATTTACATGATGCACGTATAATGTACATAAAATGTACATGATTGTACATGATTATTTCTATTTTGAAAGAAGCATAATGAAATTTGTTAGCTTCTGATTGTTCTTTAAAAACCCCAAGAAACCCTGTTGAAAATGATTGCCTCCAAAAGTCTGTGGGTGACGTAAAATAGTGTGTGGGGTTTGAAACTGGTATTTATGAGAACTGTAGCAACTCTGTCAGTTGCTGGTGCTCATTCCCATGGAAATGGTTATCCCAGGAAGGATAAAATGCCTTATGCACTTCGTTGCATTTTCAAATGATTCGTTTGTTTTTATTACTTTTGCGTTAAAAGAATATACTTTGCTTTCATGCATTATCTGTTTACATGAGGGTGTGATCCAGCTGGCAGTTGTGCATTAGGAAGCCTTGGACTTGTGTATTATACAAAGCTAGAAAATATATAAATATATAAATAT